TTTTATCATAATTGAAATCGCGATTCGACTGTACTTTTAAAGCCGACACTTCAAATAAAACACATTTTCTGTACACGTCATATATGGCGCTGCGATCGCACTCATTAATGGTAATAAATGATGTTTAGATTATGATCATTTACTGAACTAAATTAATATGGTTAGCTAAACAATAAAAGTTAATCTACGGTGAAACATGCCCCATAATATTAACCAGAATACAATTGTAACTGACCTCGCACATATTGTTTGTGTGGTTTATAATGTTAATTCCCTAAACAGACAACAACTCAATTCAAGCTAAATGTGGACGTTATTTATGTTTAACCCAAAATATCAAATGCCAATGAATTTTTGAAGTGTTGTCTGATTTTAATTTTAAATATAAGTACAGTTCACACCATATACAAGAAACGCAACTATTTTTATAAATATATATGGTATTTTTAAAAATAAAATATTACCCAGATTTAATTAAATTATAATTCAATTTTTAATATAGTGTCTCATTAGTTAAGTACTATTAATAAATATAAAACAAGCGTGATATTTACCTAGCACATTCTGTTGATATTTATAACATAACGTCTGTATTTGAATACAGTCACACCACATTATATAAACCTAATTAAATAAAGTTATTATATCAGATGTAGAATGTAAATGAATTAGTTAATTATTTAATATAAAATAACCGAGATAATAATTGTTAATGATTATCGCTAAACATAGCATGAAACAATTAATAATAACATGTGACTTGTCTATGGAGAGTAGACTGTATTGGTTGAAAACATTGCGAGACATACGCTGGGAATACAGTACAGTCTGACGCGATAAATGAGAACAATTGATGACAACAACAACATTACTGTATACCAGACATAGAGTGTGTGTTGTGTTCACCAAATAAACTACACGTCAATAGTTTTTGCCACCGATTCGTGTGTTTTGTTTGGCTTTTAATTAATTTATTATAAAAAACAAAATTAAATTCAATTAAAAATCTATACATTTATTCAGCGATCAGTAAATATCGGCATTCATTCACACCTGAAGTGTATTGCGATTACAATCACAGCAACACATCCGACGGCCAGACAGACAGCGGGTGTTCATAAGAGTGGCAAAGAAGTTGATCCGTTGTGTTGAGCGCATCCATCCATCCGATCGTGTCATCGGTTGTCGTGTGAATCCATACTCGAAGTAGTCGTCGGCCGAAGCGGTTCCCCAACAAAACAATGGGCATAAAGCGGAGGACAGGGACGACAAAGTCGCCGCCCATACTGTCCCACGAGTTCGTGATCGCCAATCACGCGGACATTGTCTCCTGCGTGGCGATGGTCTTCGTGCTGTGTCTACTATTTCAGGCCACTTCGCCCATCGCATCCATGTTTGTCGCCATTCAGCACAACATCACCGATGGTCTGATCCTAACGTTGTTTGTTTTTTTGAGTCTAACTTTATATTAATGTTTGGTTTTCTGTTTGTTTGCCGTTTAGTGTTCACATCAGATGTGGTTCAGTACACGTATGGCGTGAAAGACGTGTGTATTGTCTTCTTCTACTTCTTGATCTCGATTGTGATGCACGCCGTCATCCAGGAGTACCTCTTGGATGTGAGTAAACGCCGCCACCAACCATATGGTTGGCCCAAAACATACACACGTGTCCCACACCTCACTCTTTGCTACCATTAATTAAGTTATATTTTAATCCATTTGTTAATTGCATTGCTATTAATGCCACAAAACCATTACATTTGCCAATTATTTCAATCAATTCAATTCAGACTATAGTTTAAAACAATTAAAAAATCAAAAACTTTAGATTTAGGTCTCAATACATAGAAACAGTTCAAACCTATCGATGAGAAACACGAGTTAAATGAGTTAATAATGAATTTAATAAATGTGTTAATGAATGTGTATTTTGTGTTTTGTATGATATGGTGGACACAGAAAGTGAACCGGAAGTTACACTTATCGAAGATCAAGCACTCGAAGTTCAACGAAAGCGGCCAACTGTTGCTGTTCTTCATCATATCGATAGTGTGGGCCTCAGAGATCATACGACGTGATGGTTATCTCACATCGATTAGCAAATTATGGGCCGATTATCCGCACTTAGAGATGACTTATTTGTTTAAGTTTTACTTCATTATACAAATCAGTTATTGGTTGCACGCCTTCCCGGAGCTCTACTTCCAGAAGGTTAAGAGGGATGAGATGGCCGCCCGTATCACTTACGCCACGCTCTATCTCATCTTCTTCACCGCCGCCTACGCTCTCAAGTAAGCTCTCTCTCTCTCTCTCTCTGCAGTTGTTTTGTTGAAAAACAGTTTTTTCAAATGAAATTCAATTCACTCTGAAATATATAGACATTTCTAATCATTTATTCTGTGAATATAATGTAATGCATTATTTGTTTTGTTGTATTTCTCTCTCCATTTGCTTCATCACTGGTTAACTGTACGGCAGATCTGGTTGGAGGGGTCCTCAGTATATCCAAAAGCAATTTTATACTCGTTAACGGATATTCAAACCTATACTGGGGTTGGGGTGGTATGTATTGTCGGCCATAGTCTTGGCCTACATTTCTCTTACTTACACTATCTCTACAGTTAATATCAATATATAAAACAAATTGAAAAGCGTTTTCCCATTTATTTATGTCCCCAAAAAGTCTTTTTGTAATTTCAATCCCAAAATGTATATTAAAATCCATTTACATATACAGAGCTATTGTTATGCGAAACACATTATTAATAGCTTTTTCGTTGAGTTTGACTCTTTGAATGCTCAGACATTTAAAGCGAAAAATATTATTATTAATAATAATAATAATAAATATCAGTATTTATGCGAAAATATACTGTATTTTCACTTTCATATCACACTTAATGTCATTCATATAGCATTTTATGCAACGATTTTCAACAATTATTTAGATGTGCCATAAATTTCATTTATAATACACAGCAAAATGGGATAGTATTTTGCCGTTACATTATTATGACATACACTTTGTGTATATCAGTAGTTAAATGAAGTTTTTAAATTGTATTTATTATTAATATCGCAAATATTCAGTGAACGGATAGATATAGGAAAAAGAGCTGTCATTAATGTCAGAGTAAAAAATGTTGAATTTTTCATATAATAGTGAGAAATGCATTTAAAATATTCAATGTTAAAATCTCTCTCTCTCTCTCTCTCTCTCTCTCTCTCTTCGATATCAAATATTTTTACTCCTTTTTATATTATATTCGATATGAGACTTATGTCTGTCTCTCACAAACACACTATTGGTCTCACAAATGAAAAGATCACACGTTATGGACGTTATGGATGTGACACAACATTTGCGATCAGAAATAAATACAAATCAAAACGTATTACACGTTTGAATCAAAGACAGAGTCAAACGCACAGTCGTTTGTATCGGAAAATTAATTTCCTTATTGTGTTTATTATACGGCCATCGGATCGACATATAACTGTATTACAACAGTAGTCTCTCTCTCTCTCTCTCTCTCTCTCTCTCTAATCTGTATATCAATATGTATTTGGTGTGAAATATCATTAATTTTGGTTTAATCCTGTTATGCATTTGTCTGACTCTTTGATTAGTTGAGCAAAATCTCTAACTATAAGCAAAAACACCAAAACCAAAAAATCCATATAATTTATATACGGATTGATTTTTATCCATAACTCATAACTTATATGACATATCATTAACACCACTACTCAACGCACTCGACAGTCTCTTATTGGCTTTAATCGCATGGGATTTTGCAATACATATCAATGATATCATATAAGGCCTATATATTTAATCAGCAAATATCCTATTTCTTCATTAAAAACACTTTTTTCATCGCAAGTATTATAGACGAAGACGAGAGATAAAAGTCGTAACCCATCCTCTTATAGCCCTTATATATACAGTGATGTTATTATCGGTCTAACGATCTCTATATCTATCAAACTCTGTGTTGATTACCAGTGATATAGGAAAAGATAAACTGATTTTTTCAGAGTTTGTCATTTAAAATCCTTTAAATAATAAAATCCAGTCCTAAATAACGTATAAAATTAAAGGCGAGAAAAAAGTAATTACTATTAGAGACGAGCGGATAGAGTGAGAGACTGAGAGTGAATGACTGTATCTTATATTACATAGATATTTAGTATATTTGTTATCATTAGTTTCCTAAACCCCTTAAATGACTCTTCACTGCACTGTTATAACGTTATTTCAATGTATACTTTATTTAATGAATACGTTATTATAAATATGTTTTTGTTTTAATTTAGTTCACTAATAAGTATAACAACGAATACACTGAACACTATATGAATACAGTATATAATATGATAGTTATGTTTATGTAATATAATATTAAAGTAATTATTATTTCTTTTCCACGAAAAGTCTGTTTGAAATATTTGTGAGCAGAAAATACACTAACTTTTTGGATATTAATTGAATTTCTAGCAAAAATTTGATTAGATTTTTTGATTATTTAAATACTGAAAGGCCTTATAATACATGTGTTTTGTCTCTGTATATAAGTGTTGATTAAAAAACTAAGTGACATATAACGCAAACATAACAGTGTTTTTTAATTAAAAAATATTTTATATCCTTATAGACATTATATGCGAGTTATGCCATTAAAGCGAGTGTTGTGTTATATACCAGTATATAAGATGTTTGTTATATGGCTTTAGTCAATGGCTTTCTTAATATTATATTTGCTGTTAAATATAAATGGCTTCAAATTCTTCGTGTATTCAAAAGTAATCTAAATGTTAAGCATTCAGAGAGAGAAATTTTGTGCTCACTTTGGCAAACTATTATTTATATAATTGACTTATATTTCTTCTCGTTTGGAGAAGTGTTACTCGAAATTAGTTTTTTGTATGAATTCTTGGTATATAACGAGAGAGAGAGAGAGAGAGAGAGAGAGAGAGAGAGAGAAATTTTGTGCTCACTTTTGCAAACTATTATTTATATAACAATTCAGTGGAAAAGTGCAATTCACAGTAGTATTGAAGGTTAGTCTCAATGGAAACGCATGTGTCATCCCAACAGTGGTTATATAACTGGTGTATACTTTATATATGGTTATGTAGTGTTAGAGCACTTTGAAAGCAACGTTTGAAGTTTTGACTTTAATTATAAGGCACACACTTTTGCCATACACTTGTGTGCACTGTATATACAGTACTAAATGTATGTTATTTTTCCATCTAATTCTCTATCTCTCCCTGTTTTCTATCTGTTGTTTCTCTTGTCTATCCATCGGTGCCTTCAAACTAAATGCCTTCAAAACACTGTTTACTTTTAAGGAAATGATGTTTTTCTATGATCTCTCTCTCTCTCTCTCTCTCTCTCTGAATGCTTAACATTTAGATTACTTTTGAATACACGAAGAATTTGAAGCCATTTATATTTAACAGCGAATATAATATTAAGAAAGCCATTGACTAAAGCCATATAACAAACATCTTATACACTGGTATATAACACAACACTCGCTTTAATGGCATAACTCGGATATAATGTCTATAAGGATATAAAATATTTTTTAATTAAAAAACACTGTTATGTTTGCTTTATATGTCACTTAGTTTTTTAATCAACACTTATATACAGAGACAAAACACATGTATTATAAGGCCTTTCAGTATTTAAATAATCAAAAAATCTAATCATATTTTTGCTAGAAATTCAATTAATACCCAAAAAGTTAGTGTATTTTCTGCTCACAAATATTTCAAACAGACTTTTCGTAGAAAAGAAATAATAATTACTTTAATATTATATTACATAAACATAACTATCATATTATATACTGTATTCATATAGTGTTCAGTGTATTAGTTGTTATACTTATTAGTGAACTAAATTAAAACAAAAACATATTTATAATAACGTATTCATTAAATTAAGTATACTTTACATTGAAATAACGTTATAACAGTGCAGTGAAGAGTCATTTAAGGGGTTTAGGAAACTAATGATTACAAATATCCTAAATAACATGTAATATAAGATACAGTCATTCACTCTCAGTCTCTCACTCTATCCGCTCGTCTCTAATAGTAATTACTTTTTTCTCGCCTTTAATTTTATACGTTATTTAGGACTGGATTTTATTATTTAAAGGA